GCTAGGATATATATATATAATATGCAATAAAAAAAAAGTAAATAAGGATATTATTGCAAATTTTCTACCCTCATAAATTATCATACTTAAAAGATGAATTTAAACAGCTTGGCTTTAATATCAGTGAATTTAAGGGATTTACGAAATCCTGGTCAATCTAAACCCTAGGTGCAGCCAAACAAGCCCTCAATTATACAACGCCCTGATCAATTATACAAATGGAAGAAGAAAAACAAAAGGGGAGCCCTCAATTATACAAATGGAAGAAGAAAAACAAAAGGGGCAATATGAACAAGCCTCCCCCTCATCAAAATTCGAGGCAATTGATCGATCTTGGATCTATACAAAAAAGATTTCGATTGTAATCAGATCAAAATTTCCTGCGATTTCTTCTGCGGATCGATCCTGAAATTCTCTTCTCCATACCCAGCAATCAACTCCAAATTTGAAAATTCCTCACTGCGGCCAAACCCTAGCTGGCAGCAAGAACGATCATGGCCAAGAATACGGCGAAGAAGCGGCCTCCTCCACCTCCACCGTCTTTCTCCTCCTCGTCCGACGAGGATTCTCCTTCTCGATCGATTTTTCCTGTGAAGAAGCTCTCCGCTGGCTCAGGCACGGCTGCTCTGCGAATGCATACCGAGCCCTCCTTAGAACCAACCGATGGCAGAAAAGAGGAGGATGATAAATCGTCTGAGAGTCCCAAAAGAAGCCATGGGGCAGCGCGACGAGTTTCTCGAAAGACTGATCATGGTAAGCAAATTTCCGACACCTCTTTGTTTGGATTCAGATGACAAATTATTTTCCTGTCTGTAATTAACTAATTATTATGACTCTTGCACCTTCGCAGACCCGGCAAATGACGTGAAATTAGAGAAGCCCTTGGCGGCGACCAAAACCCTAGAAAAAACCGGGAGCATAGATGAGAAGCGGAAGGAGATGGTTGAATCATCTGAGAGCGAAGAGAAAGAGTCCACGGACGAGGAATCATCGGAGGATTTGGGGACTGCTGCTCGACCACCGAATCCTCCAACACAGCTGCGAGATTCTCAAACCACCAATGATGGTAAGCAAGAAGTTTCGAACAACTCTTCGTCGTCTGAGTCAGGCTCAGGAGATGGAGAAGAGGACGGCAAGGAGTTTAATTCTAGGGCTGAATCGAAGCAGCTGCGGCCTCGTTCACCTCCCCAACCGGCCAGAAATTCTGTCAATCCAATTGCTGATTCGCCATTGAAGCCGCCCAATTCCTCAAAATCTGTCGCTGGTGAAGAAAACGAGGATGAAGGCTCCGAGAGTGAAGAAGAAGAGTCTACGGCTGATAACGAATCATCTGATTCTCAAAACATGGATGATGATAAACAAGCTCCAGACCCCTTTTTGGACCCAGTCAGTAAAAAGCCCTTAGTCAGCTCTACTCAGCCTGTAGAGAAGGAACCCAATTCTGGAAAGCAATCTGCGGCCTCACATGCCAGAATTTCAAAGAAGAAGAGGAAGGCCAGTGTAGTTGGACCAGGAGGCCAGGAGAAGGAACGTTTCAGGAGAATTTGGAGCTATGAGGATGAGCTGGCATTGCTGCAAGGCATTCTGGAATACAAAGAGCAATATCATGCCATCCCGTATGCTCATGTGCATGCAGAATCTCTTTTAAAATCTGTGAAGGATTCTTTATCCATCTCGGTCTCTGCGAACCAGATTACTGATAAGGTTCGCAGGTTGAAGAAGAGATATAAAAATACTGCTGCCAGAAGAATTCTTGCGAAGAGGTCAAAGTTTTCAGATGCTCACAATGCTGCTGTATTTGATCTGTCAAAGATGATATGGGATTCTCTCAAGGAGGAATCTTTTTTCCGTGAGAATAAGGTCAAGCTAGAGAAACGAGAGGAGAGCTATAATAAAAAGAAAAGAGACTCAAAGCATTTTGCTGGGGAATATCCTTCTCTATATTGGTTTTTGAGGAGTGATCATGGCAACAACGCACTGGTTTTACAAAATCATATACCTGTTGCAACAATAGACATGTTGGAGGAAAAGTGTAAGAAGTTGGAAATGATAGATATGCAGCTGAACATGCAAAAAATAGAGTTCTTATCTTCTGCAGTGAAACTAATCAAGGATGCCCTTGCCAAATGTTGATAATGATGCTATCAAAGGTTTTTTTTTTTGTTGTTGTTGTATCTTTTTATCTGATTAAGGTTAGTGTTTATCTGTTTGCTTAAGTCCAATAGCTTGAAACTAGGTTCTTATCACTTATATTCAGAAAAAATTAGAGCTTTACTTGTCTTGTGCATTGTATTTGATTGAGTTTTTCTATTTCCTAGTAATGGTAGGTAAATAATAATAATTATATTGAAAGTAAAATCTTTGAAAGTATGCTCATTCAATTTGTAAACATAAGGATGTGAAAAGTGACATGTAGAGAAAAGATAGCTTGCTCTCGTCGGGGAGACTTGCGTTTCATTTCATTTTCTCTTGGCTAATTGTCACACTTGAAGCATTTGGTTCTCAGTATATTCTTTCCCATTCATAATTCTTCTTTCGTTGGCTAGGGTTCTTATAGGACCATAAGTTATTATTTACATGCAATTTCAATTTTTTTTTGAGTTAGTTTGGATTAAATCTGCAGCATGCTTGCGACTTTATATAGAATAAGTTGAATATTGCTTAGGTTAGAGAGTTTAGGATCTCCAAAATTAGCTTATTTTGAGATTAATAACCATCTCGGATTCATTGTTTGTGTGGAAAAATTCTAGCATATTTTGGCATAGAAATTTAATTTTAGGGTCTGTTTGGCGGAGCGTCGTTCCTGCAGCGGCTGCCGAAAGTTATTTGGAGTTGTTTGGCACGGCGTTGCAACAACAGCATCCCGCGATTTCGATTGAACGCTGAACGCGAATAATAACCTGCTTTCCAGCTTCCTCACTCGGCTTTTTACCTCGTTACCCTAGCCGAGAAATATTTCGCCCCACATCCTAAACCGTGATCTCTCCCCGTTCCTCCTCTTCTCCGACCGGTTCCATCGCATGGCAAGAAAGAGTTGCAGGTGCACAAACTCTCCCCCTCTGCTCCTCTTTAGCCTAGACGATAATCTAGTTTCAATCCGAATCCCTTGCAAGAAATCGAGCTTTTCTGAGATCCAGGGGCGCCGAAAAGGGTGAGAAATTATTGGCATTATTTCATTTCTCTCTGATCAATTTGGTGTTTTGCTGTAAAAAGATGGTTGAGTTTATTTTCAGCGGAATGTTGTTCTGCTTAGTGTGATTGGACATCATTCTGTTCGTTGAATGGATAATTTTTGTTTTTCTTAACTATGCATCATATTATGTCTTCACCTCCTCTTCTCCTTCCACATCCTCATCTTACTTTATTTTATTTTTCATTCTCCCAGATGCATTACATGTCAAGTATAATTCACTTCCTTGCATTCATTATTTAGTGTTTCATGCACTGTGATCATGGTATCAATCTCCTCTTAGAATTAGCTGATTGTTTTTTATTAATAATTGCTTCTTTGCCATAATTTTGTAACTTTTTTTTTTAATTCCTGTGATGCCTTTAAATTATTTTTGATCCGGATCCTCTAAAGTTGCAATTGTAAATAAAAAATTAGTGCTGTTTACTTTTTTGTAATTTTAGTTAATCAATATGCATTTTTCGGTTCTGGGTAACAGGAGAGCATCTGAATCATCAATAATTCTGTTTAGCCTACCTTGTTAAACTGGGATTATCAAACCAATTATCTGCTTTCCATTGTTTCATCCTATAAGAATGATTATGCGAATGAAAATTGCATCTGGCATTGATCCTTTTACTGGGAGCTTGCATGGGTAGAGTAATGATTTTTCTGCTTTTATTTTTTGTGCTAATCCATATTTATCAATATTGTATGGCTATTTATTATTGTTATGAACTATTACCAAATATGTGCTTTCTGAAACCCATTCTTCAACATCATTATTTCCTTGAATGGATTATTGTAATCCTAAATAATGTTGGATATATACGAATGTATGCATATGAACATTTTAGATGCTTCTTATTTTTTATCTAAAATTTGATTAGGAAGTTTTAAGTTTTTTTTTCGTATACTTGATTTGAGTTTTTGCTTGTTTGCTAATGAGATTGATTGTTTTTATGGTGAAATCTGAAAGCTTGCTATTGTTCCTCTCATTTAATCTTGAAAACCGTATAGAGTATTTATCTTATCTATGTTGTTTATTTATTCCACTTTTTGTTTGAGAAAAATTTCTACTAATTGCAAGTAAGCATTTCATATAATCTTCTTTATTGTTCGAGTTAGCGCTATGTGTTTGGCGGAATCTAAATCGGGTTCCAGATTCTGTTGTAAAACCACATCAAATTTGCCTCCTTCAGTTTGTAACTGTTGAGAATATGTTTGAAGCACTTAATTTTGATATTACAATATCTATTTTACCTTATATATTGCATTTGGTACCTTGAAACTGTTGAGAATGTGTTGGAAGCAGGGAATTTGGATTTTCAACTACAATTCAAGCTAATAATGAATTTCAATAAATTCATCATTATTTTTGACATATTTGTAAACTTCAAAATAAAGTTATCATTATTTTTTAATTTATGTTTCTGAATTATTAAATAAGTGGGTGTCACTGTTCTATTATAAACAATTTTATTGAACATGGGCAGAATGGTCAATTTTTCAGAAACAGCTGCCCTACAGTTGTTTTCACACAGCTGCAACAAACAGACAGTCAGCTTCCCCGCAACACCTTCATTGGGCAGCACAGCTGCAGTTGAAAAGCTGAGAAGCTGCAGCTGCGCAAAACAAAGGCTTAGTAATAGTAGATCGAGATGCGGGGTTGTAACAATGGGTGATCAAGTTTTTAAAATGAGGGAACATTTTAGATATCTCGAGCTAATTGTTCAAAGTATGGTGATATAAATGACGATGTTATCAATAGAGTTCAAGTTGGATGGTTGAAGTGGAGGAATGCATCGGGTCTATCGTGTGATAGAAAGGTACCACTTATACTTAAAAGAAAAATTTATTAGAGGGTGGTGAGACCTGGAATGCTTTATGACGCAAAATTGTCTACAAAATTGACGCTTATACTTAAGTGAAGTGTTGTTGAGATGAGAATGCTCAGGTGGATGAGTGGTTTTACACTTAAAGACATAATGCGGAATGAATATATCTATGAAAGGGTTTGAGTAGCTCTAGTGGTAGACAAGATTAGAGAGTGTCACCTTAGGTGGTTTGGCCACATTAAACGTCGACCATCTGATGACCCTGTAAGGAGAGTAGATGCTTTAGATTTGACTTTTGTTAAGAAAGGTAGAGGTTGAACAAAAATGACTTGGGCATGTATTAAAAATGATATTAATGTATTAGAATTAAATGAAAATATGACACTCAGTATACAATGGAGAAAAAAGATTTGTGTAGTTGGCCATGAGATAAAACCTTGTTTGTTGTTGTTGTGATGATTATATTCCCTTATATAATAATGACATAAGTTGATAAAATATCAAATTTAAAACCATGCTCTAAGTTTTTTTTTAATTGATTGTTTGCTTCTAGCTGTTTCTACCAATCAAGCATCAAAGATGCTGTAATTTGCATAGTATGAGAAGGCCTTAGGAGGCCTATTGTTCCATTAAAATTTAATGTGCCAATAAGAGAAATACACTCCTTCAACATCGAGGGATTGAAGCTCTTTAGACTAAGCCAGAAGGCCTATAGGTCCACTGTAGTGCCTTCTTACTAAATAATAATGGAGTCTTCCATTGAGTGTTTGATTGTCACAATGAGCAATTGAGGTGATATTCCTTGTTGTTTATGATCTTGCAAAGGCTAGTCTTAAGCAACCTTCTTCTCTTAGTGTCTCTAAGCAAAAGATAGTGCATGATGCTCCCAAGCCGAACATTAGAATGATTGATTGAAGTTTTAAATCACCCAACAATGAAAAATAAATAACTAAAAGAAATGCCCCACACTCATGGATTTATAACAACTCGTGAGAGTAAATTTGGGGAAATGTTAGATATCCTAGCAAGGATAAGAGTTTTGAGTTCATAAATTGACATTTTAAGGTTTATTTGTGTCGATCAGGAAATGATTGTCTTTAGAGATGAAAGTTGATGATGTCCCTGGTGAAGTTTGAATGTAGCATGTCCTTATGTTATGCACTATGAGAGTGGCCTCAGGTCTGAGAATAGGAGGCCCAATTTGCCAATCTAATGAAGGTGGAAGAGAGGACAAGGATGAAGACTGCCTGCCTGCTGATAGTGTCAAACTAACCTCTCCAATTTTATCTTGACAATAGGCAAACCTCCCTTCTAGAAGCATAAAATGGAGATGTTATGAATCATGATTATAATAATTGTCTGAATGACTAATGTGGCCAAAGTTCATATGCACCGCTTAGAACTATTGAATTATAACTTTTGTTGATGCATTTTTCTAGTCAATATAAATCCCTTTAGTGGATTGTGCAGTAGTACCATTGATGGTTAAGCATCTCCAATAAGGGTCTGTTTGGGGCGGCGGCAAGAGTGCGGCACGGCACAGTGCCGCCATTGTTGGTCGTTTGGGGCGACGACAAGGCTGCGGCCTGCCACGATATTCGTTGAATGTGGAAAGCTAGAACCGACCCCCGTCCCAGCTTTGTGTTCCGCCATTTTACCCCCGTGCCCTGTTACGCCTTTTACTCCGTCCCAGCTTCGTCCATTCAGTGCTGAGCGGTGTCGAAGCCTTCTCAATATATCATCTTCTCCACCTTCCATTTTTATTTGATTCCTATCGAAGGATTTCTTATTAGATTTTTGAGTATTTTGATTGTGTTCAAGAGAATGTGGATGAACTCTAGACAACCGGTGGATTCTTACTACGAAGTCAAGCCGGAGTACACAAACGACATCCCCAAGACCCAATTCAGAATCAAGGTTTTTTTTTTTTTTGTTTCAGATCCCCTATTTTCACCTTATTCGTAGTTGTGCTTTTGATTTTGATTTGCTTTGTTTGATTCACCAATTCTTCTTTTTTTTTTCTTTTTGAAATTATGGATTTTGTTGAGCTCTATGTGATAAAAATTCTGTCTTCTGATATCTTGTTTGATCTCTCCATGCATCTGGGATTATCTGTCCGGAAGATCTGTGGACCAAAGGTTGAGTTTTTATGAGTTCA